TGGAGCAGGGGGTTGGACTAGATGACCTCCAAGGCCCCTTCAAACTCTTATTATTCTGTAAGGGTCTCTTCCTGGAGCAGGGGGTTGGACTAGATGACCTCCAAGGCCCCTTCAAACTCTTATTATTCTGTAAGGGTCTCTTCCTGGAGCAGGGGGCTGGACTAGATGACCTCCAAGGTCCCTTCCCGCCTCTATTCTGATTGAATTACATATTGATCTGAAATAGTCTGGGGTCTCCTGCTTGGGAAGGGGGCTGGACTAGAAGACCTCCAAGGTCCCTTCCAGTTCTATTCCGGTTGCGTTGCACACACCTGAGGTCTCCTGTTTGAGCAGAGGGGTGGACTAGATGACCTTCAAGATCCCTTTTCCAGCTTTATTCTGATGATATATTTATTTCAAGTGGTCTCCTGCTTGGGAAGGGGGCTGGACTAGAAGACCTCTCAAGCCCCTTCCAGTTCTATTCCGGTTGCGTTGCACGCACCTGAGGTCTCCTGTTGGAGCAGAGGGGTGGACTAGATGACCTCCAGGGTCCCTCTGTTGCGATTGTCCCTGCTGGCTGAAGCTGATTGTGCGTCTCTCTCTCTCTCTCTTTTCCCTGGCGCAGTTTCTGGAGCGGAGTGCGTCCATGACGGCGTCTACCCTCCAGTCTCCCTCCAGCCGCAAACTCCGGGGCGGGGTAGACAAACAGGTAGTGGACCAGGTGCAGCGCCTGGAGGGCAACGCTCAGTGCTGCGACTGCCGGGAGGCGGCCCCCGAGTGGGCCAGCATCAACCTGGGCATCACCCTCTGCATCGAATGCTCCGGCATCCACAGGTGCCTCACTGCAAGGAAGCCACAGGGGTCTCGGGCTAGATGACCTCCAGGGGGTCCCTTACGTTCCCTGCCTACCCCGTTCCTGGGAAACCCCCGGAGGGAGGTTGTTAAGAAGGGATTAGACAGCAGTTTGTCTGGAGTGGGATGGGGGGTCTCCTCCTTGAGTCGGGGTTGGGCTAGATGACCTCCAGGGTCCCTTCCATCCCCCCTCTCTCCCTGGGACTCCTTTGAGGCAGGGGGTTGGGCTAGATGACCTCCGTGCTCCCTTCCATCCCCCCTCTCTCCCTGGGACTCTAAGTAGTCAGGGGGTTGGGCTAGATGACCTCTGGGGGTACCTTCCATCCCCATCCTCCTCCCTGGGACTCCTTTGAGGCAGGGGGTTGGGCTAGATGACCTCCAGGGTCCCTTCCACCCCCACCCCCCCCCTTTCTGGGACTCCTTTGAGCCAGGGGCTGGGCTAGATGACCTCCAGGCTCCCTGCCATCCCCCCTCCCTCTCTGGAACTCAAAGGAGTTAGGGGGTCAGGCTAGATGACCTCCGGGGGACCCCTTACATTCCCTACCCCGTTCCCAGGAAACCCCTGGAGGGAGGTTTGTAAGAACAGTTTGGAATGGGATGGGGTCTCTTCCTTGAGTCAGGGTTGGGCTAGATGACCTCCAGGGTCCCTTCCACCCCCACCCCCCCTTTTTTGGGACTCCTTTGAGCAAGGGGTTGGGCTAGATGACCTCCGTGCTCCTTCCATCCCCCCCTCTCTCCCTGGGACTCAAAGTAGTCAGGGGGTTGGGCTAGATGACCTCTGGGGGTCCCTTCCATACCCATCCTCCTCCCTGGGACTCCTTTGAGGCAGGGGGTTGGGCTAGATGACCTCTGGGCTCCCTTCCATCCCCCCTCTCTCCCTGGGACTCAAAGTAGTCGGGGTTGGGCTAGATGACCTCTGGGGGTACCTTCCATCCCCATCCTCCTCCCTGGGACACCTTTGAGGCAGGGGGTTGGGCTAGATGACCTCCAGGGTCCCTTCCATCCCCCCTCCCTCCCTGGGATTCAAAGGAGTCAGGGGGTTGGACTAGATGACCTCCAGGGTCCCTGCAAGAAAGAGAGACACAGCCGAAGTAGCCACTGAAGATGGGAGAAGGGCTTACAGATGGTCCTCGACTTACGACCATCCATTTAGTGACCGTTCAAAGTGGGCAACACGTCTGACCGTTTTTTTCACACTTACGGCCATCCTAGCCATTTCCCCCCCTCCCACCGGTCACAGGATTTAAAAAACCTCAGACGTCCGGCCGCTGATTCGTATTTACGATGGTCCCGGAGGGAGGAGCCGTATCCGCTTACGAATCTCAACAGCGGGAAAGATTCGCTTAGCAACTGAAATAGAGAAGGCGGCCAAAGGAGGGGAGCTTCGCAAAACGTCTCGCTTAGCGGCGGGAACGTTGGGTCGTAAGTCGAGGACGGCCTGCATTAGGAGGTCTCTTGTGGTGTCGGAAGGAAAAGACCCTGGGGGTGGGGTGGGGTGGGGT